CGGAGTCATTGAATGGAATGTCTGATAGAACTTTTCTCTTGCGACTTAATGTGATTCCATTGATTCAGAGGGAAAATTCCCTGGGGGTACTCTGGAATAAAGTTGCAAGGTAGTTTGACACCTTTGGGTATTGGTGCGAAGCAAAATACCTGGTTTGAGGCAAACCACGCCAATTGGTGTGAGGCAAACAACGAACCCATGCCTCACACCAAATGGTGTCATCGTACTTTCTCACACCATACTGAAGGAAGGGAAGGGAAAGCACTCCAGTAGTATGCCTACTGCATTTCGCACCAAATAACAAACTGCTAGGTTCACAATTTTTCCTGACTTTTTTGAAGTAATACCTTAAACAAAAACTTTTGGCAGGTTATTTTGTTTTCCTAGACTTAGTTTATTTCATGTGTCCCTCAGCATTTGGTCTGGGATTGGGACACGGTTCGGCCACGTACACTGTTAAAAGTTTACAGTGATTCTCACCGTAACCTACAGTGAAAGCCTGCAGCACTGCAGCTTACGGCGGGATTCACTGTAGCTTACGGTGAAAATCACTGTACAACTTTTAACAGTGTACCTTTTTCTTGTCCCCCATGCCGATTGTCGAGCATTCTCCTCATAGCCGTGGGTATTGGCAGCTTGTACTGAAGGTGTATGGTTTCGGCCGAGATGTGGGAATGAAGCGATACGCCCGCGGAGGCCCTGCGTTCCCGTGCGTGCGTGCGTGTAAGAGACAAGACTATCGTGTATCTCCGCCGTTCTTGCAGCCCAGCCCCGCGCTATCACTTCGCGGCGGCGACGCCGGAGGATCGGGTTCCATTTGTCGGTACATTATAACGAAAGGTGTCCCCCGGGTCATGGATGGTCATGCCCCCGCGAACGAGGGTCATGAACCCGTGAGTCGAGGGTTGTTGCCGTATCCAGCCGCCCATTCAATATTCACCCTTTAATTCATTCATGCATTCATTTCCCCGTGTTTTCATTCATTCATTCATTCATTCATTCATTCATTCATTCATTCAGTGCCCACGCATATCCTTAAAACAATCAAGAATCGATCTTGAAAGCAGATGATACACATTTAAAAATAGGTCTGTTTTCTCATTTTCTCTCAACGGCCGGCGTCGGTGCGCGTCGGTGTTGGTGGACCAGTAGGGCCAGTATTCTTGGGTAGGGAGGGGGCCTCAAAGAGTTTGTCTAGTAACCTCAAAGA